TTTGCAGCCTAATAGCAGGTTTTCGAAAAACGTCTAAAAAACACAAGAATTAGTAGAAATGTCCTGTTTTGGGCGGATTATTGATAGAGAATAATGTCTTTATTACAAAAATGCTGAACAACCGTGAGTTGTTGCCTTAGTTATTTTTTTATTGGCGAAAAACTGCGAACTCGGCAAATTTGGTTGCACAACTTCCCTTTATCATATACACTCAGCGACACCGATGCCAGCTGACTGTGTACAAAACTGGTAGGAGGTAATACATTTGGGGCGAAAGTATTCAAAAATCAGTTTTTGGATGTTGCAATGGCAGTGGTGGGCCAGGATTTTTTTCCAATTAGTGACGGCACGACCTACCTGTGAAGTATGAACAAAACCAGCCGAGCCGTTGGGGTCAAATTTCTCGGTAATGAAAACAGATATCAAAAATTCAAATGGTAACTTTGTGCCCACACTCAAGCTGAGTAGAATGAGCTATGTTTGAAGTGTTTTATCCCAAATTTGTAGGAGGAGATACATTTGGCGCGAAGCTATCCAAAAATCAGTTTTTTGGCTGTTGCTATGGCAACAGTGGGGCAAAAAAATTTTTCAGATTTTTCCTTATAACTAGGGTTAAGGTGTGACCTACCTGCCAAGTTTGAACGAAATCGGCCAAGCCAAAAAAATCACAGAAGAAATAATACGTGAACACTGGAACACTGGAAATGTCACACACAGACACACACACACACAAAACGACAAAATTGATTATAAGGGCAATCCTAGCGGAGCGGATCGCCAATAAATACAATAAATTTTTAAATCCCTATTGAACCAATTTTGTTGTTGTAATTATTTGTATTTTCAGACATGTTTTTTTGCTGCTCCTAATTGATTTATTCCTATATGTGTACTTCCTTCTTGAGAAGATTTCATGCATCATTACATGTTATGGCAGACTGGCAGCCTAATCAATAAACCTTGCAATACATTTGTATATTTGTTCAGATACATTACATTGTATGGCTGATACTTAAAGTATAAACAAATCTGTTAAACCATATTATTATACATCTGTCACCGTCATAGGTTACATAGTGTCGTAATTTTGCGGTATTGCACTTGGTATTTTCATCCTACCATATTAGGAAATGTGAATCTCAAATATGGAATGAATTTGCGTGTAAACGTCCTCTAATAATAAAAAAAAACATGGATGCCCCTGGACCGGACCCCACACAAAGAAGTTCGCTAAATCTGTTCTAAGCATTTCGGATTTCGGCATTCCAAAAGCATGAAAAAATGATTTTATATAACTATGAAAACTACTTCAAAAAATGGACTGCAGTCGGCAGTGGCTCACTCGTGAACCAGAAAGTTTTGTTGTTTCTGAAAATGCAAACGACATACAGCATGAATCGGCATCTGTATTTTTTTTGAAAATTATGTTGATTGAAATGATTTTACGTAAATCAACATTGCAAAAAACTACACAACAAATTACATTATGTGTATGCTAGTTTTGGGGCCAATTTCATTTAACCATGTTTGCAAATAAAATGTTTTAGATGCTGTATCGCATTTGAACATGGTTTTTCATGCTTTAAAGTTATTTCTATATCTTTAAAATGAAGTTGTTATAATAAAATAGCAATAACCACCACCACCACCAGAGTATACCACTCAATTTCATCCAGTTTACTTCATATACACATGCTTGTGTGGAATACTCACCTGTGGGGCAAATATTCCTTAAATATTAATTGTAATAAATGTAAATGTTTTTATTCACCCAGCAATTCTATCAGGTCATGTTGTGTTTACGTTTGGTGGCTCTGGATTCCCATTTGGTGCTCGTAGCGATAATCGTGTTCATACATTCAACCTGAAAACACAGTGTTGGGCAACTTTACCTCTCAAAGGCGATCTACCACATGCAAAGTATGGACAGGTAATAATAGGTTTGTTGTAAGGTTGATGTGTGGTCGTCGATATATGTGGTTCACAAGTGTTCATGATACGCATGTTCAGTGTGTGTTTGGGTTGTTTAATGTGTGTTCAATATGTGGTAAATATATGTGTGAAATACTGTAAAAACATGTCTTTTTAGCTAATTTAGCTAATCTGTAATTTCGCTAATTCAAAATGTCACTAATTCAAAATAAAGTATATTCTCACAATGAGATTGTTGACACTTTAGCAAAATTATGATTCAGTTAATTTATGCATGGAGTCAAATTTGCTAAAATGGCATGTAGATATTTAAACATGTTCTACAGTATATGAAATGGGTTTTATGTGTGGTCCATGTTATAGTTGATAGATATTCAATGTTTGGCCAATATACATTTGATTTGTGTAGATATTAAATACCATTCAAGATTATATCGTGTTTTTCATCTCAAATTTCAGGCCATGGCTTTGGTGCACAATCAGTATCTCTATGTATTTGGAGGCTGTAGAAAACTACCTGAAGGAGGTCTGTTTGTCTTTGATTCCGATTTACACAGAATGAAACTAGAGACGTACTGCTGGGAAAAAGTAAAAGATCCTGTCATGGAAGCACAAAAAAATAGGAAAAGAAAAGAAAAGAAGAAATCTAATAATGATGATGAGAATGATGCAGTTAAGAAGGAGAATGAAGTGGAAGAGGAAGAAGAGGATAATGAAATGTATCCCCTAAGAAATGGTTCTTATCGACACCAGGTTGCAAATGATGAAGACAGACTTTATGTTTTAGGAGGAGGAACTCTCTGGAGGGAGGTGTTTCCTTTTGACAAAGTAAGTTGGTATGAACTTTGCTGCATGTAAATGGAATTAGAAGTGCAAGCCTTGACAATGTATTCAACATTCCACAGGCTGTTTTCATAAAAACAATAAATTGCAAAGTCTCATAGAGCAAAAAAAAATAATTGTGAAGAAAGTTTGGCACTTCTTTCTTGGTTTAACAAATGATACGGTAGAACAATACTGAAAAGTAGATATAATGTCAATTTTGTGCAAAATTGACTGAAAATATTTTGTCTCTTTCAGGGCATTTGGTTTCTATGGCTAAGATATCTCAGAATTGTGACATATGTTAAAAAAATGATTGATATCAATAGTGCATTATGAAAAATATATTAAAAAAAACTGACAAAATGTATTTTCATTGAGGTCTATAAAAACCACTGAAAAAGTGACATTTTGTGCATATTATTTGAAAGATTTTTTTTCACAAAAGCAGATTGACAGTGAACAAAATAGTCGACGTACTATTGACTAACAAGACAAATTGTAGAAAAATGTCGACATAAAATATTCTCGCTGCTATACGAGCTGAAATATGCACATGTGGTGTGGGGTTGCAGGTATTGTGTCCCATCTGAAGGATTGGGGCATTTTGTCAACCCTTAAGTATGAACATCGATATGCTGCTGTGATCGCACTGACGCCACAAAACCACATCTATATTCTTACGCTTGATTCATTTGTAGGCATCGCCTTTCATTTGATGTGCTGTAAAATTATGTCTACTGTGTGCTCCTACGTTCACAATCAAATGTTTTTATTATTTTTCATTCACTCTTTTTTGAATGCATGTCATAGCACTTTCACTCATTGGCAACTCATCGGCATATGTGTGTCATCAACAGTATATTTTTCAAACAATCACAATTTGTGAATGCCGTGACGTGGTGATTTAGTATTGGTCTCTAAGACTCTCGAAAGTCTACAAAATTGTGAAACTCCTATTGTAAAAAATGGAGCCTTGTAGTGAACATAAAGAAAAAAAATTATGGTTTTTAATACTGGCAACAGAATTCTAAAAAGTCAAAATTTCTCAATAAATAACCAAAATATTCCAGCAGTGTATGAATTCTTTAGGCACTATATTCACAACAAATGGAAAATTTAAATGAAATTTATTAATGTTAAAAAACAAAGCAATGAAAGCTTTATTCTCTATACGACAAACCATCTCAAAATGGTGTCCTCTTCACTGTGTTTAAAGTTATTTGACCAACCAATTTCACCAATTTGAATGTACGGGTCAGAAATCTGGGCTTGTGATTTATTAAAAGATGACAATAATCTTGAACAAACCTGTAATCAATTTTATTGTTTCATACTTGGTGTAAGTAAAATCAGAGTAAAATCGGTTAAGAGTAAGAGTAATTCTAGCTGGGTAAAACATATTGAAAATATAACGGGTCACAATGATTTGAAACAATAAAATTGAACCATCAATTATCAAATGTTGTTAAAATAAAACTCACAAAAGACTATGAAAAATTATAAAAAGAAAGCTTAAATTCTCCTCACAGTAAAAATGGTAAAGATGACAATAAAATGAGAACATATAAATTGTTTAAATCGCATTTGAAAATAGAAACATATTTAATCGAAATAACGAACTTCAGCCTTCGCAGTAAATTTCGACTCAGTGATCATAATTTAGAAATTGAATGAGGAAGACAACAACGATAAAAAATTCCTGTCGATCGATTTTGTAAAAAATGTCATACAAATTCAGTTGAGAACGAATAATATGTTATCCAAGATTGTGAATTTTTCGATAAAGATAGTCAGTTTACTGCATATATGTTTACTCTAAATGATTTCAGCAGAAAATACAACTTAAGAGAACAATGATAATCACAATGCAGTATACTGTAATCCAATCATACATAGTTTGTGTGTGTGTGATACCTCATAATGTATCATTGTAATTTCAGATCCATGCATTCAACTACGCAACAAGTAGATGGGAAATTCTAAGCAGTCACAGAGATGGTCATTGTGCAGAAGGGTTTCCGTCACCACGAAAATATCACACATGTGTACAAAAAGGAGATGGTAAGTTTTGTGACACTTTTTGACACTGAGGGCGCTTGCTATTTAAAACTTGAATTGAGTTGTACAGAGATTGCACATTCTTTAACTGCTGTTTTAATTCAAAAATTGCAGAAGTTTTTATCACTGGAGGTCATGATGGTTTTATAGTGTTCGATGACATTTGGAAATTAACGTTACACGATCTTCAGTGGTCCAAGCATCCTGCTAAACTCCCGTCTACGTTATTTTTCCATGCTGCAGCACTAACACCGGTGAGTACTAAGTAGCCTCAGTACTAAGTAGATTCTGTTAAAAAAGCAGAAT